TATCCCCTCCGACGATCTAGTCAGTCTTTGAGAGAGAGAGGAAGAAGAAAACACTGAGTGTGTATTGTAGCAAAGGTTTTTTCTTGCGTACCGTCTTGCCTTTTGTGAGGAGGATTTATACCTCAAAAGCTCATGATTGCTGTCAGTGTAGTCAGTAGGTGATCATTAGGTACAGGCAGTGTGCGCACTGATTCTGACGAGGAATGTCTTCTCTTCTTAACTGCTCGGGGTCCTGAACAATCAATGTTGCGTCATCGGAATGCCGACGGTACAATGAACTCCTCTCGGGGAGGATGCAATAAATGCTCTGTATTAGGAACATTTATTGCCTTTCATTTCCGAGTCTTACCACATTGAATGCAGTCTCGTCAAGGGAAGGTGTAATTAATCGTTTGTTTTCCCAAGTCGCGTGTCAGCAACGACATGCGATTTTTCTGTCTTTGATGTGACATCATATGCCACGCGTCCATCCCCCATTGGCTGTGGCCCCTGCATTCCTGTGCGTTCTGACACCAATTGTGTAAGACGAGGTCATGATGAATAGCCTAGGCTAATGACCTGTACGTTAATAGCTTATTCTGGAGCAGAGGAGGCGTCCAGGACGGGTACCTCTCGGCACCGAGGAAAGGCACATCTCGAAAATCGAGAGAGGTATACCGACCGAGGCTACATGTCGGTTGTAACGTACTGAATGTCATGATCCCATATGACGAGTACCTCGGGAGCGAGGGACATTTGTGAGCCGATGGTGCTTGATCTTAGCAACAGTGTTTTGGTAATACCGAGGACACGTGTCTTCATCATGAAATTTTCAGAAAAGTCCTATCAACTGCCCCCCAGCCTTCGATCTTCTGACACCGAGGGCACGCGTCGTAAGGAGACGAAGGGTTTCCCAACAACCACAAATGCTTCATCATTGCCTCGAGCCGCTTTCCCCGGCTTAGGATGTCGTGTGCATTAAATGCGTNTTTCCCAACAACCACAACTGCTTCATCATTGCCTCGAGCCGCTTTCCCCTACTTAGGATGTCATGCGCATTAAACGCGCCTTTTCGTGTTTCGCTCCCAATGATGAAACTGGAACTATATAAATGGGGTTCCTCTTCCATTTTCTTATTTCGTCATTCCGAACTTCCTCAAGAGAGTCTTTTCCTGAATCTTCGTCGGAGATCTCTTTCTTTCCCCATTGTCAACTGCCAATTTTTCCTTAAAGTCTTAAGGCCAGCAGACCCATCGTTGCTTCTGAACTTTCTGGAAGGAGTCGCCTAAAGTTTTTCAGAAAAAACTCCGTTTGACATTCGGGTGAGTCCTAGTATCTTTCCTCTTCTCTTCCTCCTATCCCTTTTTGTTTTCCGATGACTGGAGGTGTCTCCGGTTGATACTTAGCGACTAATCCTCGGGAAGCTTCCTCAGGGATTTTTAAGAAAAAACACCCTCCACTTTCTCACTTTCTTAGAGATGCCTCGTCGTCGCCCTGCTCCCGAGAATTCTCAGGCTGGTTCTTCGGGATCGGGGAAGTATAAAGTAAAGAGTGGTGAGCAGATTAATAGGTTTAAGGTCAAGTACAGCATTCCCCCGTACGTAGACATAGAGGATTATGACCCGGTGGTGCACTCTCCTACCCTCGGGGCCGAGGATGCTATGCCCTTTTATACTAAGGCCATAATAGAGGGCGGAATTAGGTTTCCTTTACCCCCTTTACTTCTTCAGTTCCTCTCTCACTTCCGCCTCTTCCCCGGGCAGTGTTGCCTTAATGTCTTCAGAATAATTATGG